TGACCTGATCAATTCTTCAGTATATCTTTCCCAAGAAGAACCCTATGAATTGTCAAACATCTTTGAATTCTACATTCCTTTTGACCATTCTAGAAAAACCTAATATGTTATTAGTGAGACTACTTTTATATTCAAATCTTACCTTTGGCAATTGCAAAGTTTAAGTATGGGCAACTTTCTAAACATCTCTTTGTATTTTGATTTCTCCATTTATAAAATGAAAATGCTAATAGAAACCCCTAGTGCATATGGTTGTTCAATGGATTAAATGAGTTACTAACCTCAAAGTGCTTACTAGACAGCTTAATATTTAGTGAACCCTCTATAGACATTACCTAATATTAAATAAAAAGATACCTTGAGAAACAGGAAACAGATATATGCCTGGAAATGTTATCTCTAAATTCCACCAGAATTTATCATGCATCTACTTTTTGCTTAGCACAGTGCTAACACAATCCTTTCTTTATAAAGGAATAAAATCTCCTACCATATCTGCACACCCAACGTGATTGTTTTTCATAGCAACCACATGGTTGTTATGGTGCTTCTGAGTTCTGGTGTTTCTAATAACAGTCAAAGAATAAGTAGGATTATTTTTAACTAGAAATATCAAGAACTTTTTTAATATTGGAAAATAACAGAATGAATAACAAATGATTTCAATCACTTTTAGAGATATTTTTGAAATGTCACTCTTATTTGGATGGCCAAATCTCTCCCTAGGAAGATGGTGTCTCTTTAGTCATGCCAACTGTCTTTCTCTTTGGTCTTAGTACTGGTTAAGATAGTTCACATTCTCTGAAAGCAGATGCTGAGATAGAATTTGGGGTGGTAGGTATATTTTAAGGACCCACCCCTACATAAGGCAATGAAGAGATAGGATTGGGCAAATGGAAAAATCAAGGTGGGATGCAGATCCACTAGAAGTTCATTTAACTAGGTAGGAAGCTCTAGAGCAGGTATTGCCAATCAAAGTTGTTCTCCATGCCTTTATATCCCTCCCTGCCTTGTTCTGTCACAAAATGTTCTCTGAAAAGCATGATACTGGGCAAGAAAGAAGGCTCCCTACAACTAAGACAGAGCATGAAAGAGCTAATAGCTGAGGCTGTCTGCCATTTCCATTCCTATAATGGGCAGCAGGTGCTAGGAAAATTTGTTATCTACCATATATATGATCCTCTTCTTAAGTCTCATATACCCTTTCATTGTCATGATACTCTCATTATTGTGTAAGCTATAATGATTTTCAGACTCCTAATCTGTTTTCAGTATCTGCAAGCTGAACTAGAAGGGCTTCCCAACCTACTACTACTAACACTTCTCAACCTACTACTGATAACACTAAGACAGTTCATTGTTGACCTTTTTCCATTTGTTGGTTGTTGCTGTAACGACTACTTCTATTATTGTTCTTGATCTTTTTGCTTTTGACTTTTTTTTTTCTTTGCATCTGCACATTTCCCACAGCCTTTTATAAAGGATTAAAAAGTTCTTTTTTTCCCCCTAATCCCCTAATGACATCATTTCTGGGCTTTAGATGCTGTTAGACTAATTACTATTAAGAATAATGGTTTGGACAACAAGGGGATTGGACTATGAGCACATGATAAAAGCGAGAGCACACAAGGGAGGGGTGAGGATAGGTAAGACACCTAAAAAACTAGCTAGCATTTGTTGCCCTTAACGCAGAGAAACTAAAGCAGATACCTTAAAGCAACTGAGGCCAATAGGAAAAGGGGACCAGGAACTAGAGAAAAGGTTAGATCAAAAAGAATTAACCTAGAAGGTAACACCCACACACAGGAAATCAATGTGAGTCAATGCCCTGTATAGCTATCCTTATCTCAACCAGCAAAACCCCTTGTTCCTTCCTATTATTGCTTATACTCTCTCTACAACAAAATTAGAGATAAGGGCAAAATAGTTTTCTGCTGGGTATTGAGGGGGGAGCGGGAGGGGGTGGAGTGGTGGTAAGGGAGGGGGTGGGGGCAGGGGGGAGAAATGAACCAAGCCTTGTATGCACATATGAATAATAAAAGAAAAATGAAAAAAAAAATAATAAAAGGAGAGACTTCCCCTACAAAAAAAAATAAATAAAAAAAAATAAAAAAAAGAATAATGGTTTGGCAATGTATACACATGTGGGTAAATGTAAAAACGATAAAATAAAAAAAAGAATAATGGTTTGGTATTTATGTAAATTGTAAAACTAACCATCCTCATTTTTTTCAAATAATATTTATCTATTGAAAAAAATCTCACATATAGGTTCTGACAATGTTGTGCTATGGAAATAAGTGTTTTGAAGAATTAAAGGGAAAATAATATGAGGAAGTAATAGGAAAGAATGGCAAGATAGATACCAGCAAATCCAGGCCTACATTCTTCCAATTTAGCAATCCCAACACAAAGAATACATTTATTACCATCAGTCCAGCAAAGTTCCATCTCACTGACCTAGCTTAAACTACATGCCTAACATTGAACAAATTGCTATTTCCAGTGTTATGGAATATTCTAATTAATCATGCCTGGAATGCCCACTGTAACAGGTCAACACTAAGCAAACCCCACAGATTGATGAGAGGAGGAGGAAGTCCACAAAGCTAAGAAACAGAAATGGGTGCTAGACAGAGAAAAGCAACCATATTGAGCTATATAGTAGTTACCCAGGTAAAAGTTAGTATTCATTTTGTTTAACGAAAACACATGAATTTTATTTTTAAAGATTTAAACAGGAGGGTAAGGGTTGGGGGAAGTGGCACAAACAATGTATACACATGTAATTAAATGTAAAAACGATACAACAAAAGGAGAAAAGAAAAAAGAAACAATTTTCACTTAACCAACATTACCAAGGTATATCCTATGGGCTATTAATACATTTCAAGTTCCAAGTTAAATATAGAAAAGTCTTAAATTAACAAAGTTAAACAGGTTTGCTGCAGGATTTCTCAGTACTTTCAATATACTAATATATTTTTTAAATTCCCAAAAGAGTGTTCTAACGCCTGTCTTAGTTGGTCTGCTATAAAGAAGTACTATAGAGAGGAAAGATTATAAACAATAAGAATTTATTTCTCACAGTTCTGAAAGCAGGAAGTCCAGGATCAGGGTGCCAGCCTGGTGAGGTTCTGATGGGCTTTCTTCTGGGTTGCAAACTGCCGGCTTCTTCTTGTATTCTCCCATGGTTGAAAGAAAGCTGGGAGCTCTCTGGGGGCTCTCTTATAAGGGCACTAATCTCATTTATGAGGGGGTCGACCATCATGACCTAATATCACCCAAAAGCCCCACTTCCTAATACCATTCTATTGCAGGATGGGATTTCAAAAGATGAGTTTTGGAGGGAAACAAAGAATCAGTCCATGACAGCATCCTTGACCACATACATCCTCAGAGGAATATGCTGGACTTAAGTTCTTTGGGAAACACTTTGGGAAGTGATGTAGTAGACTATATATTGACCACACTTACTTTTGCTCCTAATTATCTGTGTTTGTTAATGAACTTTGAAAATTCTTTGCTGAGGTTTCAACTACTGTTGGTGCTGTGACCAGCCCACAGTTCTATCTGAAGTAGTAGTATCAAGAAGTGATAGTATACATTTGAGTAGTGTGATTCAAACGTATTCCCTAAATTATAATTGTCCTGATATCTAATTTCACATATTGAATCAGTTTAATGAAAATTAGCTCTTATAATTAAATAGAACATTTCTCTCTAAAAATCAAAGTATGTTTCATATATGATCTCTTTATAACTGCTTACCAATACACAAACTCAAATCCAAAGAGATTATTCTTTGACTTTACCATAAGAAGTGCCTTAAGAATGTACTTCATAGCCAGGCGCTGTGGCCCATGCCTGCAATCCTAGCTAGTCAGGAGGCAGAGATCAGGAGGACTACTGTTTGAAGTCAGCCCATGCCCCTCATTCACCCCCACAAAAAATATTGACTGGGATATCAAAAACAAACCAGGGGCAGTGGTGTGCACTGTAATCCCAGCAACATAAGTAGGAGGATCACTATGCAAGATTAGTCCAGTGAAAAAGTGTGAGACCCTATCTGAAAAATAACTAAAGCAAAAAGGGCTGCAGGCATGGCTCAAGAGGCAGAGTGCCTCCTTTCCAAGGACAAGACCCTGAGTTCAAACCTCATGCAACCAAAAAAATAATAATAATACATTTTGTAAGTCATAGATCTCAAACAGTTATTTGCCATACCTCAAACCACTTTAGAAATGTAAAATTAAAATCAAGGGCCTGACCTACTGGGAGTGTGGTCAAATATAAATAGAAAATATACATTAATACACATAATTTACAATGTGCTAGAGAATTATCCATAATTTGTCTGAACAAATGAGGTTTTTTCTATAGTGCATTAGGATTTATAATGCAGACAAAAAAGAATAATGATAGATTGAAACATATTCAATGTTTAGAATTATAAATGACACAGGCATTATTACAAGCAAGCTCATGATAGAACTGACTAGCACTCAGTTTTTTAAAAACTTACACATCTTAGAATTTATAAAGTAGTAGTGAGAATAACAATTTGAAGGACAAACAATAAAATTAGACAATGGGCCCAGCCCGTCTGTCCTTTCTAAACTGTGTCCAACTTGCACTGCGTTCCTTATTTCAGAACGTGGACAAGAGCAATGTCACAGAGTTGTTAGGAACACGAAATAACACGCTTCACATGATGATGTTTCACTGTTGTCATTGCTTTTCCTTCAAAAAAGCATTTATTTTTAATGGTTTATTTTGTAATTTCAAATTTTTTGTTTATAGAAATTAGATTTATTAAGAAATAAGAACAAAATTTTTGAAGCATATACGTTACCAACTTAACATATTTCCACAGATCACATTAATAGTTTATTGTACAGAATTTTTAAAGGGAACATCCTCAGGAAAGAATAATGAAAACTTAGATCTTTTCCATTTATATGTCTACCTTATCAATCTGCTACTTTCATATTCCTCAATTTACTCAATTTATAACATGCATTCTCTCTCAAATTAACTCATTTATATAAGGAAATGTAAATAAATAAATATATGCTTCTTTGTGGAACTGTTTTTGCTTACCTCTGGCAAATCTTCAATGTTGTTCCTGACCACAGAAAGCTTCTGGAGCTTCGTCAAGAACCTAATCTCTTCAGGGATGCAAACAAGCTGATTGTAGTTCAGACGAAGTTCAGAAAGCTTCTCCAGGAAGCAAAATTCTGTAGGAATGCTAGTTAGATGGTTATAATTTATACTCAGATACACAAGGCTTTTTAACCTAAAAAAATAAGCAAAGTATATGCATGAAATGAACAATAAGAAACTCCACTGTATCAGAAGCCATGTGCCATTTATTTTTGTAGTTCACCTGAGTCTTACTTGATTTACCTGCTGTGAATCATTTGGGCATAAAATCTTGCTGAAATTTAACTTTTAAATATTTTTTTATAATTAGATAGCTATGTCATAAGTATATTATGCCATAATACCTAGTTTACAAAAAAGAAAATTCTATTTTCATTCTTTGTGCAGCTATATTAGCCGTATCAAAGATAAAGGTAGGCTGGAAATGTGGCTCATGTCTGTAATAGCAGTTACTTGGGAGACAGCCAAAATTTAAAAAGCTAGTGAGATTCTATCTCAAAGAACAAGCTGCACATGTCTACAAGTCCCCAGCTACAGCTAAAGAAAGGAGTTATTGGTTCCTGATCCCCTGCTCATGATAACCTGTCATTTTAAGGTTTCTGTATTAGTTCCTCTGGAGTGGGGACATCAAACGCTTTCATGTTTTGGGTTTTCTACCTATTCCTATATCTCCCGTATGTGCTCTCCCCTTGTCTTGTGATCCAAGTCCAACCACATTGCTGCATTTGCCCTAGATCTAAAGTCCGCATATGAGGGAGAACATACGATTTTTGGTCTTCTGAGCCTGGCTGACCTCTCAGAATGATGTTCTCCAGTTCCATCCATTTACCTGCAAATGATAAGATTTCATTTTCTTCATGGCTGAGTAAAATTCCATTGTGTACAAGTACCACATTTTCTTGATCCATTCATCAGTAGTGGGGCATCTTGGTTGTTTCCATAACTTGGCTATTGTGAATAGTGCTGCAATAAACATGGGTGTGCAGGTGCCTCTGGAGTAACCTGTGTTGCATTCCTTTGGGTATATCCCCAGGAGTGGGATTGCTGGATCATATGGCAGGTCTATGTTTAGATTTTTAAGAAGTCTCCAAATTTTTTTCCAGAGTGTTTGCACCAGCTTGCATTCCCCAGTCAGCGCAGTGAGATTTAGGGTTCCTTTTTAGGGTTCCCACATCCTCGCCAGCACTTGTTATTGGTGGTGTTTTGATGATGGCTATCTAACAAGGGTGAGGTGGAATCTTAGTGTGGTTTTGATTTGCATTCCTTTATGGCTAGAGATGGTGAGCATTTTTATGTGTTTTTTGGCCATTTGAATTTTTTCTTTGAAAAAGTTCTGTTTAGTTCAGTTGCCATTTCTAATTAGTTCATATTTTAGGAGAGTTTAGTTGTTTAACTTCCCTGTATATTCTGGATTATCAGTCCCTTGCCTGATGTATAGCTGGCAAATATTTTCTCCCACTCTGTGTGTGGTCTTTTCAGTTTAGAGACCATTTCTTTTGTTGTGCAGAAGCTTTTTAATTTTATGAAGTCCCATTTGTCCATCGTTTCTCTTAGTTGCTGGGCTGCTGGGGTTCTATTGAGGAAGTCTTTGCCTATACCTATTAGTTCCAGAGTGTTTCCTGCTCCTTCCTGTAGTAACTCAGAGTTTCAGGTCTGATATTTAGGTCTTTGATCCACTCTGAGTTGATACTAGCACAGGGTGATAGACATGGATCTAGTTTCTTGCACATGGGTAACCACTTTTCCCAATAACATTTGTTGAAGAGGCTGTCTTTTCGCCATCATATATTTTTGGCATCTTTGTCAAAAATGAGGTGGGTATAGTTGTGTAGGTTCATATCTGGGTCCTCTATTCTGTTCCACTGGTCTTCATGTCTGTTTTTGTGCCAGTACCATGCTGTTTTTATTGCTATTGCTTTGTAATATAGTTTGAAGTCAGGTATTTGATACTCTCCAGCATGTTCTTTTTGCTGAGTATTACCTTGGCTATTCGCGTCTCTTGTGTTTCCAAATGAACTTTAGGGTAGATTTTTCAATCTCCGTGATGAGAGTCATTGGGATTTTGATGGGAATTGCATTAAACATTAGATTGCTTTCGTAGTATAGCAATTTTGACTATGTTGATTCTACTGATCATAGCACGGGAGATCGTTCCATCTTCTGTAGTTTCTTCGATCTGTTTCTTCAGGAGTTTGTAATTCTCCTTGTAGAGGTCATTCACATCCTTTGTTAAATTACTCCTAGGTATTTGATTTTTTTTGGAGGCTATGGTGAATGGAATCCATATATTCTTCTCTTTTTCATTGTTGGTGTTAGAAAAGCTAATGATTTTTGTAGGTCGATTTTGTATCCTGCCACCTTACTGTAGCTGTTTATGGTGTCTAAGAGTTTTTCAGTAGAGTTTTTTGGGTCTTTAAGGTATAGGATCATATCATCTGCAAATAAGGATATTTTGACAGTTTCTTTACCTATTTGTATTCCTTTTATTCTTCTTCATGTCTATTGTCTGGCTAGATATTCAGTACTATGTTGAATGGAGTGGGATAGTGGGCACCCTTGTCTCATTCCTGATTTTAAGAGAATGGTTTCAGTTTTTCACCATTAAGTATGATGTTGGCTGTAGGTGTGTCATACATAGCCCTTTACAATTTTGAGAAACATTCCTTATATTCCTAGTTTTCTTAGAGCTTTTATCATGAAGTGGTGTCGGATCTTGTCGAAAGCTTTTTCTGCATCTATTGAGATGATCAAGTAGTTTTTGTTTTTGCTTCTATTGATGTGCTGTATTACATTTAAAGATTTGCATATGTTGAACTACCCTTGCATCCCTGGGAAGAAGCCAACTTGGTCATGGTGAATGATCTTTCTGATGTGTTGTTGGATTTGGTTTGCCATTATTTTATTGAGGATTTTTGCATCGATGTTCATTAGGGAAATCGGCCTGTAGTTCTCATTTTTGGAGGTGTCTTTGTCTGGTTTTGGGATGAGAGTAATATTGGCTTCATAAAATGGTTAGGCAGTGTTCCTTCCCATTCTGTTTCATGGAACAGTTTAAGGAGAGTTGGTTATTAGTTCTTCTTTAAATGTCTGATAGAATTCAGCAGTGAATCTGTCAGGTCCTGGACTTTTCTTTTTTGGGAGACTCTTGATGGCAGCTTCAATTTCTTTTTGTGTTATAGATCTATTCAGGTGATTAATATCCTCTTGGTTCAGTTTTAGGTGGTTGTAAGTTTCTAGAAATCTGTCCATTTCTTTAAGATTTTCAAATTTATTTGAATATAGGCTCTCAAAGTAGTCTCTAATGATTTCCTGGATTTCCGTGGTGTTCGTTGTTATCTCTCCTTTTGAATTTCTGATTTTACTGATTTGGGTTTCTTTCTCTCCTCATTTTAGTCAGGTTTGCCAGGGGTCTGTCAATCTTATTTATTTTTTCAAAGAATCAGCTTTTTGTTTCATTGATTCTTTGTATGTTTTTTTTTTTGTTTGTTTCTATTTCATTAATTATTTCTTTCCTTCTGCTTGTTTTGGGGTTTGTTTGTTCTTGTTTTTCTAGGAGTTTCAGCTGTAGTGTTAGATCATTGATTTGAGATCTTTATGTCCTTTTGATATATGCACTCATGGCTATAAATTTTCCTCTTAGGACTGCCTTTGCTGTGTCCCATAGGTTTTGGTAGGTCATGTTTGTTTTCATTTTCATTAACTTCCAGGAACTTTTTAATTTCCTCTTTTATTTCATCAGTGACCCATTCATCATTGAGTAATGTGTTGCTCAGCTTCCAAGTGTTTGCATGATTTTTACTGCTGTTTTTGTTGTTGATTTCTAGTTTTAATGCATTGTGGTCAGACAGAATGCATGGGATTATTTCTATTTTCTTATATTTGCTGAGGCTTGCTTTGTGACTAAGATATGATCAATTTTGGAAAAGGTTCCATGGGCTGCTGAGAAGAATGTATATTGTGCAGAAGTTGGATGAAATATTCTGTAGACATCAGCTAGGTCCATTTGATCTATGGTGTGATTTAGTTCTAGGATTTCTTTATTGTTTTTTTGTTTGGATGACCTATCTATTGGTGACAGGGGGGGTATTAAAATCTCCCACTACCACTGTGTGTTGGAGTTTAATATGTTTTTAGATGAAATTTGGTGCATTGACATTGGGTGCATATAGGTTGATAATTGTTATTTCCTTTTGGTGTATTTTCCCTTTTATTAGTATGGAGAGGACATCACAGTTTAGAAGGAGATATTAGGTAAAGACAGAATGTGAAGATAAAAAATATTACAGAATAGGGAAAAGAAGATCATGGAAATTTGAATCTGTAGAGGCAGCTATAGAGCTAGTCATCAGGCATGGTGGTTCACAACTGTAATCCTACCACTTAGGAGACCGAGGCAGGAAGGAAGGAAGGAGAGATGAACAATCAGGTTGCATTTAAGGCTCAGCCAGAATACAGACAACCCAGAATTAGCTATCAAACAACATGGACCTGTATATCCTGCAATCATGCTTTTTATGTTTTCATTTCCTTAGACTTATATGATTCCTTGCAATATTATACATCCTACTCCATAGCTAAGCATTGTGAATATAACATGGCATAGTTTCAAGGACTTTGAAGCTCATCTACTCAAAATTTTTCCATTAAGAGGTGAAAAAGCTGAAGTCTAGGGCAGTTAACTTGCTTGCCCAAGGTCATAAGGCTAGCTGCACAAAGATATGGCCTAACCCTCATTCACCAGGTCTTCCAAGGTGTCCTTTCGTATATTGCATCATCATCAGTACATAACCTAACTGATAAGCTGATACATGAAAAAACAAGTAAGCAACTATGGTATTTTTCATTACTTCATCTATATTAGAAGTACATTTTATTACTCTTCTATGGAAATTAGATTGACTCAATTTTTTTTCTAGTTGTCATGGTTTAAATATTACCTTTCCTGTAAAAATCTATTTGGAAAAGATAGTCAGTTGGCTGGAGGTATAGATAAGTGAATTGAAATCAATTGTAAGTGCTGCAGAAAGCCCGGTGTTGAAGGTTGCTCATAGTTTTGCATCCTCTGTTCAAACTCTGGATGCTCTTTGTAAAACATCTGTTTCTGTTCAACAGGCAATAAAGAGAGTCTCCAAAGTAAACCTGAGCAGGGCTCACTCCATCTGTCAGAGGAAAAGCCCAAGAGGTGTTTAGCCTGCAGAAGGACAAGGCCCTCAGCTGGCTCCAGAAAGGCACTGTAATGGCAGCCTGTCTATCCAGATGTGCAGGACAAGAGAAAACAACATTTTTGTTGTTAATGATAATAACATCAATGGCATCAATGGCATCATAGTTTTAAATCCTTTGCTTTTATATTACCTTTCCATTGGGTTCTAAATGGTTTACAACACTCACAAAATAAAATGTAATGTCTCTCAATTCTGTGTGAGCAAGCACCAAGAACCCCTGAGTTGAGAAATCAATAACAGCATCAGCTGTGGAACTTTATGTTCAAACCTCTACTTTTACACGAAGACTACCAAATCACACTTTCTTATTTCTCTGAAGCGCTTGAGGAATCATCTGCTTAAAATTAGTGGCTTGCTTCACTCTTTCAGATCCCCCATGCTATGTGTAAACCCCTCAAGGACTTGATGCTGGGCATAACGCTGTCAGATGACCAGGAAGGGGGTTGGGAGGTAGGGGAAGGATATAATGTTTAGTCAAGTCTCATTGTAAACAAAATTACCTTCCAATTTCTTCAGGAAGCCATGTAAGCTCATTGTTGTTCAGATTAAGCAGGATCAAATTTTGTAAACCATCTGTTAAAAAATAATTTTTAGTCACTTTTCTATATACCTTTGCCTTCCCTCTGATTTCTCACCTTAGCCAAGGCTCTTTTGACTGCTGGTGACCTACAACCTCACACTAGCTAAGGCAAAAAGGGGAAATTTATCACAAAGTTGCAAAACTAAGCAATGACATATTATGATAGAGAGTACACGCAGGTTCACCACAAATTGGAACAGAGAATTAAATGACTTTCAGAACCAGGAATTGATGCTTCTGATATCTCTGCAGATATGCAGTTTATTTTCTTATTAAACCTTCTCTCAGCTCCATATTTATATCCTGTCTCTGTCTCTCTCATAGATTTGCTCTACTTTTCTATGTATTCATAGCCATCCCACAACTCCATCCCACGACTCCTGTCACACACATGGCAGAGTTCTCAATCTCAAATGCTTGCAGGAACCAAGAAGATAACCCTGCAAGTTATCAGTCAGGGTCACAACCATTCAGCCCACTCCTGGCAATGGTCGCCATGTGGGAATATGACTGCAGTGTTGCTTAATCTTTCTTTTTTGAAAGAAATAAGGATCTTGATTCCTGCAGGCTTTTAAGATTAAGAATTTGCCATGTCTGTGAAAGAGTTGAGGAATGACCATGAATACACAGAAAAGTACAGCAAACGTGCTCAAGAGAGAAAGAATTGGTTGGAATGGAGAGAAATTGAGACATAATGAGAAAGAAAGAGACAGAGATCTAAACTTTCTGTGAACTCTCTTATTGGAAACATTGGCACCTAATTCAAATGTTAAAAAGGTAAACAAAACAGAGTCAAACTATATGTGAACCAGATTCAGCCCATGGGCTCAATTTTTCTGAGTCACATGATTTTCTTAAACCAATTATACTGTTTTAGACTCTATCACAATCTTCAAAAAAGAGCCTGATTCATTCAGCTTGCGGATAAACATCTAGCCTTGGTCAATCTGGCCTAGTCAGAAGAGGGTCTCTAGACCCATGCTGACCCATCCTCAACTCCCAGACACCAAACTACTTTTACCTACAGATAATCAACACCTGACACAGAATATAATTTATGTCAATCACTTGAAATTTTCAAAGTTCAACAAAGTTTCCAATTTCAACAATCAAAAATCAAGAAATTCAGAAACTGATTTGTCAAATCAGAAATTAATTGATGTCTAATCAAGGTCACTAAAACTTGTAGATACATGTTTTATATATATCTGTATTTCTGTCTTCATGGAGATATAGTGATAGAGATAGAGATACAGAGATACAGAGAGAGAAAGAGACCTAACATGTTGTGTCAAATTTTAAAAATATTTACAGAACCTTAAATTAGCGTAAGTTAGGAGACTCAATATTGTTTATATACATCATAAATTTGTACCCTTGGTATAGGTCATAAAATATTATTGTCTATTTGTTTACCTGGCCTTAACTTTTTATTTACACACTGTTTTCACCTTAAGTAAATTATAAAAATTCATTAGATCTATGGCTTGGTATATACAATATGTGTAAGTATCAATAATTATTTGTTATAATTATTATTTTGAGGCAGAATATTTTTCCAAGATACATGAGCTAAGATTTTAAAGCACTTGAGGGCTGAGAATATAACTCAGTAATTGCCCAACATGTGCAAGGGCCTGAATTTGATGCCTAGAATCACAAAGTGTACAAATACATAAATACAGTACCTTGAAAGAGATGGCCCTACAGTCTATTTGTGCTACTTACCAAATATAACCCCCAATTTAATGTTGTATACAGTAGAGCCTTTAAATACTACTTGAAGACAACAATGATTATATGTGATATCTACATCCCAAAATTTCACCAAAATTAATAAATTCTATAGTTTTACCATCGGGAACTGTTATGGTTTGAATCTTGTTTTTGTGTGTGTGTGTTGCTGGGACTTGAACTCAGGGCCTGCACCTTGAGCCACTCCACCAGCTCTTTTTTGTGAAGGATTTTTTGAAACTGTTTCCTCAGGCTGGCTTTGAACCACAATCCTCCTGATCTCTGCCTCCTGAGTACCTAAGATGACAGGCATGAGCCACCCATGCCTGGCATGTATTGTATCTTGACTGTCCCCTAAGGTCCCACAAGGACCAGCTGGCGTGGTCTCAAACTGATGGCACTAGTTGGGGGTGATGGAAAATTTAGGAAGCAGGACCTAGTGGCAGGAAGTCAGTCTGGAAGAAGGGTTGTGCCCTTCTCTCTCTCTACTTTCTGGCCATCATGAGGTGAGCATCTATCCTCCACCCACAGAATCCCTGCCATGATGTTCTGCCTCATCACAGGGCCAAAAACAACAGGGTCAGGCAACCAATGACAGGTATCTCAGAAACTGAGTCAAAATAAATCTTCCATCCTGTTATTTTGTGTACCTCAGGAATTTCATCATAGTGACAGAACATTGATTTACATAGGAACTGAAAAAATAAGGTAAGAAGGGCCTTGTATGTGCTCATAAAGCTAGAAAAATCACCTGGATCTCTTTGTCCTGTATCTCTGTCCTTAAGCCCACTCTACCTATATTAAATACAAGTGCCATATTGAATGGATAAATTATTAGCTTAAAGCAAGCACAAAGAAAAGAATGCTGTTTATGAGATCTCATATCTTTCCTTCAAAATTCTCCCTAAATTGGCTTAATGAGTATCTTACCAATCTTGTGATGTAATGCCTGAGAAGTAATAAAAAGTGAAAGGAAAAAGGAGTGGTGTGGAAAGCTTTTTTGAAAAAAATATGATTTTAAAAAAGTTTTCTAACTCAGAGACTGAATGAACACTGCTTCTGAAAAGGAGAAATTCACTAATTCTAATGTTTATTTATTCTCTTAGGTTTACATGTAAATAAATATTTGATACAAAAATTGAAAAACATTACCTCCAAAAGTTCTTAATTTCAAGAGTAGTGAAATTCTTTTTCATTTAATCCTGTATTATTAAATATGAGGGATTAAGTTAATTTCCTTATAATCGAGTATGATACTATAATGTTCTACTTTTAACTAACTTACCACATACTCCAGATGCAAATCTACAAATCCTATTTCCAAATAAATGAAGCTTCTTCAGGGAGGTAAGGTATTTCATCTCTTCTGGAACTTCTTCTAAAAGGTTGTTTCCCAGACTTAGAAATGTCAACTGCAAACATACAGAGATTTAATGGACTCCTATGTTATCTACCTTCAAGTGGGAAAAGAAATAATTTAAGTTTTCTGCTCAATCTATACAACCTAAAAAAACTTCAGGATACTCTTGAATTACTTCACTTACACCTAAAAATTATCTTTATAAGTAAAGTCCATTTAAGCCTCATGTTTAAACACCTTATATCAATTAAGTCACAATTTAATTTTCAACTAAAGCATTTATCATCATGAAAATTGTATTACAAACTATTCCAAGGACATTTTAAAACATAGTTGATGACCCATTCATAACTCAATTGAAAAACCCAGCAGTCTCCTGACATTAAAAACTCAGAAAATTGACAAATTTCCTGGAATCAGAAACAGAGGCAAATTTTTTACCTAAGGTACTCCTGTATATCTCATTTAGGCCAGTAAGACTGTTCTATTACGTGTTTATAGCTGAGCAGCCTTTAACTTTGATATCATTCTTCTATGTGATGACTACAGAATTTGCACAGGCAACTAATAAAATGGTATGAGTAGAGCAGAGAAGATCTGCCTTTCAGATGTACTTACCAACTCTAGATCTTTAATATTAAGGGTAGAAGAAGAAGAATTGTGGGAGTTTCAACACACAAATTTACATAAGACAAGAATTCACACAATAATTAAGGAACAGGTTTAGGTCATTTATATTTTATATTTGCATGCCACCAAATATTTGGTATAGATGTTTGTCAATGCTTTAAATTAACAAATGGAAGTAGACATGCAAATTTTTACAATGAAATTTTTTATCCTAAGAATTCATGGTTTAATTTCTATATGCATGTGCATCTGACAATGACATTATCTTATTTTTTAAAAAGTATAATATACCTGCCACCATGGAGGCCTTATTTTATTGTAAAGTTAAAATATTTTCACATCACCAATTAAATGAAAAGATTTAACTCAGAGTCTGTGAGTATATTAGTTTTGTATTACTGCTATAACAAATTATCAAAAATGACGTCTTTGCTTGGGTGTTTTTCCTGCCCTGTAGGCTTCCTTCACTCCCTTTCAGGTTTCTCTGAGAGACTGACCTCAGTAGATTACAGAAGTCTATGTCTAACAGTCTCCAAGATCTGCATTGTCACAGAAGTTGGGGGTAGGGGAAAGAAAAGGAAAACAAAACTATTTTAAAAAGGAAGGTGTGGGTCAAATCTCAGAGGAAGGTTAAGTAAAATAAAAGCATAGAAATAGCCATTGGATTTTACAACATGAAAGTTACTAGTGACCTTGACAACAGGGGTGAAGCATTGGGAAAGAAAGTCTGATTGAAATGGGCGTGGAGAAGATGTGAGAAAGCAAAGGCAATGACTATTAGACAATTCTGGAGAGAACTTTCTGGAGAGAACTTTTGCTATTAAAAGAAAACTAGAAAATGAGAAAAGAGTTGGAGTTAGTTTTCCTCCAAAATACAAAATAATAGTTGAGCTTATTTTATGCTAATAGAAAAATCCTTAGAAAATGAGAAACTAATTAAATAAGGAGCAGGATACTCACACAGTCAAAATGCTTTAGAATATAAGAGAGGATGGAACTCAAAGTACAAGTGGATGCCAGCCTTAGTAGGACCGGGAACTCATCTTTGCGATAGTAGGAAGGTAGAGAAGGCAGATAAGTGGATGGATTTGGTGATGGAAAGATGAAATTCCTGATTGATATGTCTGTTTATTTAATGAAATATGAAACAAAGTCATCTTCTAGGAGGTAGAAGATATAAGTGATTTGAGGAAAAGGGAAAAAAGTCATTTCAAAGAGTAGTTCAGGGAAATGTGGCTGACAACACATTGGTTTTTTATCTAATAGTTCTGATGTTATGAAATGAAGATATAACACAAGAAAGGACATTTTATCTGGCTGAACTACTAGCTACATAGTTCTTTGACTAAAGAAGTCTACAAAAATTCTGAGAATTTACAACCAAGAATGTGACATGCAGAAGATAAAGAAGGTATAGTGAAAACCTCATAATGTAAAGGACTTCAAAATAGTAACATGAAGAGAATGGAACTGACATTCTTCATAGGGAAGGATAACAAAAAGAAGATTCATTCATGTCTTTTAAATTCATAAAGTTCTCCTAGAGACCAGGTGGTAGCGTCACACTCTGTTACTATACAAATATTTCAGGACTCCTCATAGACTAAATTATATAGAAAGGACCAGAGACACTGCCGAAGACTGAGTTAATAATAAGAGCTGTCATTAATTCATTTATATTTATTATTTGTTTATATTTATTATATGTTTATTATGTACCTGGCACTCTTCAGAATGCTAGAAGTGCCACAATAAAAAAGATATACAAGATCACTCTCTCATAATTTCTTATGTGTTGAGAATACAGACAAAAAAGAAGTAAACAAACAGATAATTTCCATTAGCTTTAAGTGCTAGATTAAAAAGAGAGAGAGAGAAGATCATGGGATGAAAAGTAACTGGAGGTCAGATTGAATCCTTAGGGAAGGTCTCTTTGAGGAGATCCTGAGGTAAAGAATTTGGAATTTATTGACAGGGTTTTCCAAATGGTGCTTTATAAATAAATAAATAAGTTTTGAATAGAGCCAAAAAGCATTTGCAGTCTTTTGTTAGTAGCAATCCATGGTTATGGGCAGTTCCTAAAGAAAAGTTTTAGGGCTGGTTTTATGGCTCAAGTGAAACAGTGCCTGCCTGCCTAGCAAGTGTGAGGCCCAGAGTTCAAACTCCAGTACCACCACCACCAAAAAACAAAAAAGAGTTTTACTCATATAACAAACAACTTGGTAAGTTTTAAAACTTTCATTACTTAAATAATTGCCTATACAATGAAGTTCTGCTGGTATTCTCACAGTGTAATTCTTTCTGTCCTTTGTAAACTAGCATGCTACCATGGATAAAATGACACTATTGCTACTGATTTCTTATAAATTCATGTCATAAGAATTCGAGAATCTTATAAATATAAGGAACTTTTTTATAAGCCATCTAGTCCAACATATAAAATGTAGGTGGGCATTATATACCTTCTTCATAAACACCCAGTAACAGATAGTTCTTTTATCTTGTCAGTAAGTTCTATCTGCCTATCTATCAACCTATCATCTATCTATCCATCTATCTATCTATCTATCTATCTATCTATCTAATCTATCTACATAACTACCTTTCTATCTTTTTTCATGTTTATGCTTTCTGTAAGTTCTACCCAATTCTTCCCACAGCAACCACAAAAAATTATTCTATTTCAGCTTCTTATTCCCATATGACAATCTTTTAAATTTTTAAAGATTGTTATTATGTCTTCCTTGAAGTTGCTTCATTTTTCCCTTAACCATTTCCCTCAGGACATAATTTCCAGACCCCTGACCACCCCAGCCACTCTCTAATCATTGTGAGTGCTCCTCTCTGAAAACACAGTGCCTAGCATGAGACAGGAAATTAGAGCTCATAGCACAGATGCTAGTGGGATCTCTGGGTCTCCCTCTTGAAGATGACTACCCTCTTATTAATGCAGCCTAACATGGCATAAACTCTTTCAGCAACAGGCACTTTGTCAGTGCATAATTAATTTTGTCTGTGGTCAAAAAAAACCCCTACGCTAGCTGTCAAGCAGATAACCCACATCCTTGGACTTGTGCAATTGAATTCTTTTCTTAAACTAAATGTAGGAATTTACATTTATCCCTATAAAAATAGCATCTTGTTGATTTTGGCTTCTAAGACATCTCTAGTGGATAACTCTAAATTCAAAGTCTACAAAAGAAAAAAAGAAAAGAAATTCAAAGTCAACTGGACAATGCTCCTATCCAAACCAGATGTTTGTCCCATCCCCTGCTTGGACAATATACCACTACTCTCATGAATCCTATGGCAGGCAAACTTTGGAGCCATCTAGAACTTCTTTCTCTTCATCTCTTTCAATCAGTAATCAATTCCATGTCAAAATTCCATTTATTTAATTAGTTAGTTAGTTATTTTTGGCAGGACTGGGGTTTGAACTCAGGGTTTTACATTTGCAAAGCGGCCACTTGGTGCTCTACCGCTTGAGCCACACTTCCAGTCCATTTTGCTCTGGTTATTCTGAAGATAGGGTCTTGAGAACTATTTCCCTGGACTGGCCTCAAACTGCAATCCTCTCAATCTCAGCCTCCTAAATAGTTAGGATTACAGGCATGAGCCACCGTCACCCAGCTCAAAATCATGTTAGATGTATTTTCAGTTGTATTTCGTCATAATCACCCTAGTAGTGGTAGTAATTACTACCTGCCCATAACATTGATATATTATCATTTAAATTCCTCTTATTCAATCCTACTATATTATAATAATTAATCCATGATGAATTTTCCTACCCAATAAATCCTAAATGTTTCCAACCTTCCTGTGGCCTTTTCTGATCTTTGTACACTCACCACAATCATCTGTGGTGCATTCCCTTTTTCAAACTGGACATGAGGTAAGCATCTTGGTGTCTATTGATGCCTTTGGATTATAAAATATAGGTTCAATGTTTAGCAATCTTTGTATAAATCTGAGAGAAAAGGACATGAACTTTGAGATTTATTGATGATAATACTAATGCCTAACATTTAATGTAACATATACCAAACAGTCTTGAACACTGCCTAATGTGGCTGTACAATAGCCTTGATGTTATAGAAAAGAGAACCTCATATAGGCTTACTCTATGGTTTATACTTACAACTGCTACACTATATTGTGTACATGACATACTTTCTGTTCTGCAGGGTTAGAAGAGAGACCTAGGATGCCAAAGAGGAAAAGTTTGCCATGATTTTCCTTCTCCTGCTCCTCTTCATCACTCTTACCCTTCATGTCTAAGTTAGTTTCACTTTTTCAGGATCACCTTCCCTGATTCTGAGTAGAAACTCATAGCACACTGTAGTTCTCCTTCATAGCACTTTTCACAATTATAGTTTTACGTGTATCTGTATGTATTTTTTTACTTTTTCCCCACCTAAG